ACAGCACTTTAGAGGAAAAAGAGGAGAAATAACTAAGCAAACATCACAACATGACACAGTATTCAACTGAGCATTCAGTCTTGTGATTCAAATACTAGCAAAGAGCTTTTAATACACTATATACACTATATTCTTTGCCTGTAATTCTTAGTACTGGATATGCACAGATAGATACCATCAACTCTGAAAGAATTTTAAGGCCTTAGTTTGCTGAATACACTCATATTTGCACCTCCTCCCTAAAACAGAACTGTTGTAGCAAATTGGGAGATTCATCAGCATGCCAGTTTGAGGTGCTTGTGAAAGAGCTCTTTTTGTTTATGCTGGAAATAACACTGAAAGGAAATCTCTATCTATCCTCCAAGTGGTTCAACGAAGACACTTCATCTAAGAGATGAAAACTAAGACGACAGAAAATGCTAAAAGCTGCATAAAGGAAGAGATCCAAGAGATTGCAGAAGAACAGTCGCCTTCACGTGCAAAGACTGACACTGAGGAGCAAGGCAAACATATGTCCAACAGACATATCAACATCAAGTGCCAAAAGCCTAAAGAAGAATAAAAGTGGAGAAGAAACTACAAAAATAACCTCATACTCTACCTTCACAATATGGAAAAGATGGATAAAATCCAGTAGCATATGCCTGCTAGAGCAGCAGATTCTCATTTAAGAGAACTTATGTCTTCTCAGTGCAGTCTTTTAGTGCTTCCATATGTTCCCAAAAAACCTTGTGAAGTGTAAGGCACTTGGGCCAATCTCAGAATCGGAGTCTCTGAACCCACATGTCTTCAGCCACAGGGCTCCGCCAACTGAGACATTAGAAAAAGACTGAAAAATAGCTCAGAGAAGCTGTGGCTGCAACGCACTCATAACGTACAGGCCAATAAGGCAAGGTGGCCTCAAGTTTTCTACCTTTTTCATTGTGATTGTCACTCACTACAGCAGAACCAGGAGCAGGGTTCTTGATTTGCTTGGTAACCCCTGGACTTGTGCACAGCTGTTAAAGATTAGAGCAATATATGTTTTTAAGAACAGCAAATTATCTGCAAGTTGTAGAACCACCCCCCACTCACATTTATTTCTCTCAAAATTCAGACAATCTCGGTTACAAAAGCATTTGTCATATACCTAAAAATTTGCAACTTCAGTATATGCATCTTAATGTTAAGTGCAAAAACATCCTTTCGGGGAAGCTTCAAGGGACAACTACCCCAAAGAAAGAATATCCTACCTGCCTATGACATTGCCAGGGATAGCAAAGGCAGGTTCAGGAAGTAGCCAAATAGTCACTACTGAACCCAATAAAGACGTTAGTTTAATACCAATTTGTACATTTTCTGAGAACTGAAGTTATTAAGAAAGCACAGACCATTTAAGACTGACCAATAAAGATACTAATAAATATTTTTAATTACTAGAGCACACAAGGCCAATTAAGGTTTGTAAATAAAATGCTTACCTAGATCCCCTTTTAGATTCCTAATAACCTCCTGTTAGCAGAAACATCTTACATTGTTATCTTTGTTTTTTCAATTCTTTGGTTTTTTTTTTTTTTCTTTTTTTCTTTTCTTGGCCTTTTTAGTCCTTTACCTTCTGAAACACATGTGTAATATTACAGCTTATATTAATTTCCTCTTCCAGAATATTATTCATAAGAGCGTTTGATATGGCAGGGTATATTACAAAAATAATTGCACATTATCAAAAACTAAAGGAAAATTATATCAGGATGGGAAAAGGAACAAAGCTGACTTAGGAAGCACACACAGTTTCTTGAATTGCACAATGAAGAAGAACAAAGATGACTGCAAAGATGAGAAGGGAAACTTTGGGCTACCCCTAAATCCCTGGCCTCCAAGCACTGAGGCTGAGTTAAGTCCACACACAGGTATCAAGAAATACTGGAGATGTGCTGGTTTCTGTCCAGTGATTAAGAGCTTTGAATCACTTGTGCAAGAGTTGGGGATTTCAAGTGGACTGTTTTACTTTACCACAATTTGTCTTCATCTTTCTTTTCCAAATAATGTGATTTTAAACAGGGATTCTACAAAAAACTTTTGATACAGCTTAGAGGGTGCAGATTTGCTTGCATTCTGATATCCACTAGAATTTTCCATTCCTAACGGAAAAAATATCCATTAGAATTTTCTATTTAAAATACTCACTAAAATTCAACAGAATCTACATGTATTAAATGGGCTACAAAAATACACAAAGTGGATCAGATAATGGGCATGGGCACAGATGAATGAATCAGAATTTAAACACCTAGATTTCATAGAACAAATCCACGTTTTACTAAAATATTCCATTATTGAAGTAAAGAAATAAATAAGATACTGTTTTCTTCATTTTGGGATTAAACATTACACAAAATCCTATGTCAGTTCTCTATAAATACGCTGAAAAGAAAGATTAATATGGCCATCTAGAGGAGAAAAGAATAATTTGGAAATATACCACACACATGCTTCCAGGCTTCAGAAAGTCACTTTCCTAGAAGACATACAGCCAGAAAACTAATAGATAATAAACAAATTTTAAGATAATACAATCAGACCTCTTCATAATTCTAGTAATGCAAGCATTACTGTATATACATCATTGTGTATTTTCCAATTTTTAGCAGTGCAAGCAAAGTTTGCAAGCTATATTAATAGAAACAAGATTCTATTCTTCTTTTGTCTCTTACACTGTAGTATTTTGTGAGCACACTTAAGTGCAGGCCTAAGCATGCAGATATTTTAAAAGGGAATATTAAAGCATAGAATAAACAGCAAAACTATTTATTGACTCCTTTCAAAACACACAGGACACTACTGCAAGATAAAACATATGACAGAGTAACTGCTAAATAGAAAATAACACTGAAGTTTCTGAAAATGAAGTATTATGCATCTTCATCCGTTCATATTACTCTTTTTTTCCAAAGTAACTTTTAATGATACCATCAGAGATGAGTTGAGAGAAAAAAAGAGGCAAGACAGAAATCAATTCTCTCAGCATTGCAACAGTATCCAACCTTGTTCAATAAGGGCACAAAGTGGGACTTAGGCTGGAAATACAGCAAAAAAATATTTTAAATTTGGAATAAAACTCAAAAAGTACATATGAGGAGACGAAAGAACACAGCAAACAAATACACCAATACTTGTTTCTCATTCTCTCTGCGTACAAAAGTACACAGCAACATACTGCTTGTTACCCCTCTGCAAAGAATTTCCTGATGCTCCCTACTTCGAAACACACACACTGTTCAGTGAAGTGTTTCTCCAAACACAAACGAACCACTGGGCAGTGACAGGCAGCTTCACGTGTATTTATTTTTGACCACAGTTTTTCTTGACAAAGTTCCCACCTTCTCTTTTCAAGGCCCCAGGCTGGGCAGCTTTCCTTCCATGATGAATGTAACATAACAAGACAAACTCTATTCGCTCTTCTTACCACTTCTATCATTGTGCAAAGACTATTTATATTTGAAATAACTTAGGAAGAACAAAAAGTTAACACACTAACTACTCCAGTGTGCCACGCTGAGACCACTGAAAAGAGGGAAAGTTTTACGTTGTTATTCTGTTGCCATTTCCGATTCCACAGAACTTTTCTGAACAGCTTTGTCGACAATAACAGGTTGCAAAGACAAGGTGAGATCACGACTCTAATTTTCAAGTATTTTGTAGAAAACTGTAAAGTAACTGCAGGCTATCAGACAAATAAGGCTGCTGATTCTCCACTCCTTACTTGGAGAATGCTCTCACACACAGTAGAAAAAGCAAAACACTGACAATATTACAGCTCTTCGTAAGTAGAAATATGTGGTTAAAGACTTCATATTTTGGGAAGTCAGAATATTTCTTTTACATATAGATATTTTTGCTTTGCTATCCCTTCTCACTGTTACCCATTCTCCATACATGTGTCCAAGAACCAGTTCTAATAGCTCCACCTCACCTTTGTACTTCCTTCCTTAGCTGCTGGATCTCTCCAGTCTTTCTAAGGTTAAAAGCAAAGGAAAGATCTGAAAATTCTGATTATCAGAAACCTTTCTTTAAATCTTCAATGGGGATTTTTCTGTCCTTTGCATCTATACTTCAAAATCATTAAAGAACAGGCACTAATTTCAAGTTTCAGTGCCACTTGAACTCTTAACTGGACTTGTAAATTATAGACCTACATCATACAGTAGAATATTTCTTTTTCCCCAAATATATTCCCCAAAAGCAGCTATATTAGAGCCTGACTTTTAACTAACTTCAACTAAAACTCCATTTTATGAAGCTAGAAAATAACTACAGATACAGTTATGCTTATATGCTTATACTATGAAATATAACTATTTTCAAGCACAAAAAAGACAAGATATTAATAGCTGACTTCCCAGCCCACTAGCGACGACCTTTACTGAAAAAGTAAGACATATATACGACAACAGAAAACATATTATTGCTTATATCTTACTTTTAATTTCATGGAAGATGTATATTAATCTAATTTTTCTAATTATTTCTTTGATTTCAAGGACAAACATTCCAGTAACACACATGGCAATGAGCATGTGCACCATGAGCAATAATTAATTGCTTTGCTGGCAATCAATAACCATTTACTTGGTTATGACAGTTCATGAATAAAAGCATCACAGATCCTGTAGCTTGTCTCATTTGCATTTATAATACCCCAGAATTTATTAAGAATTTCCATGTTTCTTTCTTAAATCAACATAACTTCAAGACAACTCCCCAAGGAAAAAAATTACTACTAATAAAACTGTACATCATGTAACACAGGAATAAATTACATAATTTTTGGTATTTCTGGAAAAATACAAAAGCAATTTCACACCAATTCTTTTTGGAGTACATACAAGTATATAAGATATCTGTATATTTCTTACAGATATTGATTGTTTGCAAGTTAAGTTGCCCTTGTCTACAACCACCTTACACAAAGCTTAATTATAAAACTAGAAATAAAAGGAATACCTATGAAACAACCTTACCTTCATCTATTGAGGCTTCACTACTGTACCCATCGTATTCTGCGGACAGGGGGCTGTATTTCTGCCTGGTTTCCCATACGTAGTTCTTTTGCTGCCTGCCATCCGCCACGGGCAGCCTGGAACTCTGGGTTCTGGAGAGGGCCTCGTGGTATTTCCCCAGGGCCTCGTCATCACTCTCCGATGAGGAGCCGTGCTGGTCTTTAGTCATGTACGAGTTGTCTGTTTGAACGGAATAAAGCAGATCAACTACAGCTCAAAAGGGAATGCAAGAAAAGCACACAATTTGTCAGTGGACTTCAGTTACTGAAAGCAGAATTCTCATGCCATAATGTTGAGTCCCTGATTCTGCAGGGAAACATGGTTGGATGCACTATCCAACCACACTCCAGCTCTTTTGCCCTCTTTCCTCCTTCCAAGCTCAGCTGTGCCCTCTAAGTTTTCTATTCTAGGTCCCACCGATTCTCAGCCTTCATGTCCTTCCATATCCAAAAGGAACTGCAGCAGGATGAGTCCTGCTCTGTTCCTCAATCCCGAAAATGAGGCACATAAATGCAAGTGGGAAGGTCAAATAATTTAAACAAAGAAATAAGAAGTTTTTACTGAGCATTTTCAAAACAACTTTTTAAAGAGCATCAACAAATGTAGATAAATTTTCAAAAAAAAAAAAAACAACAAATAGCAGGTACATTTCTGACATGGAAAAAGTGTTCTCTCACATTCCAAGTACATTATCCAATGCAAAAGACTGGAGGACTGGGCGGTGAGAAACCTCATGAGGTTCAACAGGGGCAAGTGCAGGGTCCTGCACTTGGGGAGGAATAACCCTGGACACCAGTACAGATTAGGGGTGGACCTGCTGGAGAGCAGCCCCGCAGAGAGGGACCTGGGTGTCATGGTGGACGACAAGTTGACCATGAGGCAGCAGTGTGCCCTGGTGGCCAAGAAGGACAACGGGATCCTGGGGTGCATTAAGAAGAGCGTCTCCAGCAGGTCGAGGGAAGTGATCATCCCCCTCTACTCAGCCCTGGTGAGGCCACATCTGGAGTACTGCRTCCAGTTCTGGGCTCCCCAGTACAAGAGGGATGTGGAGCTGCTGGAGAGAGTCCAGCGCAGGGCTACCAGGATGATCAGGGGCCTGGAATATCTGCCCTATGAGCAAAGGCTGAGAGAGCTGGGCCTGTTCAGCCTGGAGAAGAGAAGGCTGAGGGTGGACCTGATCAGCGTGTATAAATACCTCAAGGGAGGCAGTGAGGAGGAGGGGGGCAGCCTCCAGCGATAGGACTAGAGGAAATGGCTTCAAACTGAAGCATCGGAAGTTCCACAGGAACTTAAGGAAGCATTTCTTCACTGTGAGGGTGACAAAGCACTGGAACAGGCTGCCCAGAGAGGTTGTGGAGTCTCCTTTGGAGATCTTTGGAGATCTTTAAAACCCGCTTGGACGCAGCCCTGTGCCACGTGCTCTAGGTGACCCTGCGTGTGCAGGGGGGTTGGACTCGATGACCTCTGAGGTCCCTTCCAACCTTCGGCATTCTATGATTCTATGAAAAAAGTGCCAAAGATTCATAATGAAGAAGATAGAAATGTATCTCTTTTCTGCACAGATAATCAGCATGGTTTTGCCTATTCCTGGAAACAGATAAAGACTTTAAACTACAGCATATAAGAAAGATCTCAGACAGAAACCAGGCCAGATTTCATCCCAAATGCTTCAAATTTGGCACACAGTTATAAGTGACTGAAAATAAGGTCTTGAAATGGAGAATGTCAGGAAACTTTAACTGCAGATGGTGCTACCACTCTAACTGTAATGTACACTGGAGCTTAATTTGGTATTTACAGGAAAACTGGTATCTTAAAGATTGCTAATGAGCAACCAGATCTTTTACCTCTAGGCCATAAATTTTAATTCAGGAGATGTTAAGGTGCTCCCCATTATATGGATGGTTATAAAGCAAGTTTGTTGCCACTGATCACACACTGATGAATATCAAACAAAATAGAGCATACACTGGATGGCAGACTCACTGCAAGCAGCTGAAAGCTGCCTGGAAAACGAAGCCTCTTTCTGCTACACAAAGCAGAAGTCTGTGCCTCTTAAAATGCTCAACAGCCTGAAACCTGTTAGCTGGGAAACAGCTCCAGGATGTCTTCACAGCTATGAAGAAAGTGGGGCATGCCAGAACTGACACATAATGCCTGACATAACAATATAAACATATACTTCATTTTAAGCTGACAATTATCTTTATTTAGAGAAGGGGAAAAAWAAAAAAAAAAAAAGAATTTGCAATATGAAATTAGGTTCATTAACCAATCTGCTTAAAGTATCAAAAATGTGCTAGTACAGAATCTGGCAGAAATACCAGAAAATTTCTGAGAAAAGTTTTGGACGTTATGCCTCTAATAGTGCATTCAACTTTGTAAGCACTCAGAAGTTCTCAGTGATACTGGGAACAGTGGTATGGGAACAGGGATTCCCATAAATTTATCCCCTAACTCCTTCTTTAAAGAAAAACAAGATAGAATGTCATGAAACAGGACAAGTCCTCTCCAGAGGACTTAAGAATCTAATTAACATTACAACATTAGATATATAAAAAAAGAATAATACAAATCCATTTCATCTTCTTGGGGGGAAAAAAAAGCTTCCTGCAACACTTAAAAAAATTGCTTTTAATCGAACAAAATCCAAAAAGGTTATGTTTATGCCTCTCCCTGGCACTTCTCTTTTGATTTTTATGTTTTATACAGAAATTTGCCTATTATTTGCCTACTATTAACCTATTAAAACCTATTGATTTGCTCATTATAGTAACTACAACATATTTCAACATATTTTCCAAATGTTGCCTCATATGAGGAAATAACACACATTTTGATCAGTAATTAAATAGTTCTATTCTTGGACTATAGAACTAGCAGAGAGCATGTGCTGCATTCTAAAAACTCATTGTACAACTGGCAAAATAATCATGCAAAAATACCAGGTTCTATATCTTGCTCACAAACTCTCACTGCATCCTCCTTATTATATTGTTCTAAGACTAGCTGCTGGATGCAGTACAGGCAGCATCCAAATCAACAGTGCATGTTTTCTCCCTAACACTACAACTTTAAGAAAAATCTTGTTCAGTTTTATTTATACTTAAAATTACTTAATTGCTACTAGTCAGTGATTGTTCTGACTTAAAATTATTTATAAATCTCAGAAATGCATTGTGAAAATCTACCATCATGCAAATAAAACAAAAGTACATTTTTCTTTATCTGATCAAACTCGATGCAAACTTCAGAGACCATGAGATTTGCACAATTCATAGAACAGCTTTAAAGTACAGAAAAAGCAAGCCACTTTCAAAGAATAAGCATTATTTCCCAGTATTAATACCCAGCTTTCAACAGAAATCATACAAAGCACTTCAGAAAAGGTGAGAAAAGTTTTATATGGAAAAAGACTTAGAATATATAAAAGACATCTAATAAACAGTTCCACTAACTCTATACTTATAAAGTTATTCACTCCAAAGAAATATCATTATTAGAGGATGAAGTACCTAGAAAAGAAAGTTACTTCCGTCCAAGGGAAACAGTATCATTAACGTGAAATCCACAAGTTGGATGAAAAAAGCCAAAAGTGCCATAAGTTTCAGGAAAGGCTGAAGAATGAAACTTGCTCAAGGACTCCTCACCTTTTTCTGCTGTCTTCTTATTACTTAGCTCTCTGGAATTTTTTTCTGATTTCTTGGAAATTTTCTTTTTACCTGCTTTTGTAGTTGTAGCTGAGGTACTGTCTCCATCCTTTATTACAGATTTTCCTTTTCTGTCACAAAAGACTTCATTTTTCTTTTCTTTTAAGGAACTATCATTGTGTGCCTTTTTCAAGCTGGAATCTGATAATTTTTGCTTTTGTACTTCACTCACTTTTGTTTCTCTGTCTCTGGAAACATTTTTCATGTGCACGTCTTCAAAATCCTTCAAACCAGTTCCAGATGATCGTGTTTTATTTTTTCCTTGCAAGTGATTCTTAGAATTGTCTGATACTGCATGCAGGCCATTATCTTGTTCCTTGAACGACTCATCTGCTTTCAGTTTAGTGCTTTTCAGGCTACTACCCTTTGAGAACTTATCTATTGAATGCTCCTTTCCTTCTACTGCTTCCTTTTTAACAGATCTTCCTACATTGTTCAAATCCTGAGGTACTTCTGCATCACTGAAATGGTTTTTGCTATCTCTGCCTTTAAACTGACATTGATTTTTGCCAACACAATGGTCAAACACTCCACCTTGGCTTAGATCTGATGAATTAGGATATTTAGTCTCTGTATGTTCTGCAGTACTTCTTTTCTCTTTCATATCATCTTCCTTGGAATGAGTTAGCTGTGCGTCGTCCCTACTTTCCATGGGTTTCTCATTCTGCATTTTGGAGCTTTCATCCTCTGCACGAAGGCCATTTATCATGTTGGTTACTTGTTCTGCTACTGAATCGGCTACGCTGTAGCCAACTTCTCCAACAACGCTGGTCAGGTCATCCACAGCACTGCTCAGTGTATCAACCACAGAGGACATGGAGGGAAGGCTCAGATTTTGGTGCAAGTTCCTGAAAAACGCCATTTCTCCAATTCACTGATCAACAACAACTTCTCTGTAGAAAGGTCTTCTGCTTCACAAAGAGGTCAACTCCATTTCTCCAAATTCAATTTCATATTATTACTTCTTTATTACTTCTAATATGTTTAATAAGTGAAGTTGCAACTTTGTTCTTTCCATTCAACAAGCATTGAAAATAATCAGAACACAAGTATCTTCAAATGAAGCAAAAAAAAAAAAACACCCCACCAGCTAGCAAACAGCAGTCTTTCATCAACAGCATCATGAAATATCCATACTAAAAATCATTATTTTCAAAAATAAGACAACTTTGTAAGAAGGAAATAGGCATTTTTATTCTAACCTGCAAAGAAGAAGTTAAGACATTTAAATTTTATTTTTTATTAAACACATTTTTTAATGTAATAGCTGTACAACAATGCATATGAGGCAGAAAAAGAAGACTCCAAGGTGAAAATGCTTTCTCCAGCTTTCCTGTTCTGTTCTCTGGTGTGTTTCTTCCTCTCACATGAACTAACAAAACCCACCCAGTCCCTGCAGCCTAAATACACAGAGGAGTTTTTCATCAGCCCTCAAGCTCTTTTTATTATAAGACCTAATCTTCTTAATGTCTATATATTAAAGACCCCTAAAGACCTCGTTTTCTTGAAAAGACGGAGTCTACAATTAGCTCATTAGCCAGAAAAGAGGTCTATTTAATTTCCATTGTTTGAATTCTTTCAAATTATTTTCCAGGTGAGTAAATGCAACACCACCTCCGCAAGGTCAAATGAGGATTCAGTAGACTGAGCAGAAATCCAACAATCCCATTCTCAAATTAATTTAAGATTTACTTACAGGCAGTTATGGCATGTTTTAAACACATTCGAGAGTACTCTAATTGGAATTATTTATTTAGATGTACCTAAATAAATGCCAACTCTTTTGTTATATAGCTGTTAAATTTCTGTGGCTTAAAGTTTTAAAGGTTTCTTCCCTTAAACACAGCCAAAAATCACAGGACAAGTCAAAAACGTCTATCTTTCCATCCCGAGTCGTGATTTTTTGTGCATTTCTGTATTTCATTGTAAAAATGTGAAAGTCATAACTTTAGGTTGAAGAAATTACATTTCAGACACTTACAAAGTTTATCTTGTGAATTCTTCCTCGCAGCATATCCCGAATCAAGATCTGGGAAACCACCAACATTTTCAAAACACATCTTCTTATTAATATATAAGAAAAGCAGCAACATGAGGACAATGAACACACCAACAGCAGACAAGAATCCAATTGCTTCAGGAGACACTGAAAGAAACAGACAGAAATAGATTAAAAGAAAAAAAAGAAACTTTTATAAAGCTACAGTATTTTATCAAAACTAGTCATTAGTTAACATTTCTAAAGGTCCAAATATATACATAAGATATAGCTGAAATGCTCCAATTTTATTTTGAAGTGTTCCATTTTGTTAAATTGCAGCAGCTTTTCCTCCTCTAATCATCTTTCTAAAGATAATAAAATACCAGGTCCTAATTAATTAAAGACCAATGTTGTGAGCAAGAGGTGCTGCTGGAGTCCCAGATGCCATAACTCTGCAGGAAACCAGGGGACTGTCAGAACACACGATGGCTGATGATTTCTGATGAAAAAAATCCAAGGTAGAGGAAGTCAGAGCTCTGAGAGCAGCCCCCACCCTTCAAGATGCTTGGTTCCATGGGCTCAGGGCCAACTTAGAGACAGTGCAGCTGAGGACAGGCTAGTTCTTGCTGCTCCCTGACAAGTAGGATGCTGTGTGAGGAGGAGTGGGAAAAGAAAAAAGAGCAAAAGCATCTAACGGGTATGTGCATGGCTTGTGTGTAACAAGAAAGAGCTAAGTGGAATAAAGCACATTTAATTGAAATCAGGTAGAGGAACCGTGGCCTAAACAGATTGTCAAGTCAGCAGAAATGTGCAAGCTAAACAAAAGCATGTAACTGCTATCAGCCAGGGAACTGATGGGGGGTTTGGGGCACCTTTGGGGCATCTGGTCTAGTACAGCATTACTGATATGGTGGCCTTGGAAGAATCTAGCAAATGGTTTCAGAATACAAAACTGGGGAATGAATAGAGCAAATGAAACCAGGTAATTAGGGGCAGATTGTTTATTCACAAAGACGCTGGGCAGAGAAAGGGATAAGAAAAGGTAGCAAGAAAGAAGGTGCAGAAATGGAAGAAAGAGCAAACAAGTTATAAAAGCAAAGCTATTCAGAGATGTATCTTTTTTCAAATTGCAGACAGCATTACTGAAATACCAAGACCAAAACAGTTAAGAGTACCCTAGACTTGTACTACAGGATTGTAGATCCTGCTATAAAAGCGAAGATGAAAAAAAAAAAAAAAGAATCTTAGGACTGATCAAAGAAGAAAAGGGTTGTTGTTTTGTTGTTTTTTCATCTTTTCATTATCATGAACAAACAGAAAGAAAACCTTGTTTACCAGGAAAGAATATGCCAGCAAGATTACTTGATACTCCCTTCACAAGTCTGCCTACAAGTCACTTACAATATTACCGAAATCATTTGTTACAGCTGAACTTTATGTCAAATCTCAGCCTCCTGCTGAAGTGTTTTGTTGACTACAAAATAGTCAATCCATAACTAAAACTGAGGTGAGAGAAAAAGAAAAGCATTATATAAAAGAAGCTTCTCAGCCATGCATTCATTTAGCATTTTCATGAAACCTTCCTAAATATAGGATATCTGTGAGTAGTGAAAAAAGCCTCAGTTTATGTATATTCATTATTGACCTCAAAGCTTACCCTTCTCCTAAGGCGCTGAGCAGAGCGTGCTCCTTCCCCTTCCTGAATATCTGGATTCTCATTCTCCTTCCCCTTCATGAATAACTGAAAATGCTGCTAACTAGGGTGATCAGAACCAAGTCCAGTTTCCTTTGAAGTCAGCCTGACCCAAATAAGACCAGGGACTTAGCTAAACACAGAGTCTTCACTCCTCAGTAACTTCCTCGCTCTAATGTAAGGAGAAGGGTGGACTGATTCACCAGGACACAGGGACCAGCAAAGTGGAAAGGGAGATTAGGAACAAGTGAATAAGTGCAGTGAAGAAATAGAAGTAATGCGGAAGGTGCAACACTGATGGAGAAGAAGTCAGAAAGTGAAGAGAGAAAGAGGTTAAAACTGAATGGATACAGAAAAACAGAGCACAAGGAGTTAGAGACTGAAAAAAAAAAAAAGTACCATAAAAAGTAACATGAATGGTTTGGATCATTTCATATTCCCACCACTGATTTTCTTTAATTATACAACTCACGTACAAACACCATCTGCGCCTCAGTCAAGAGAGGGTGAACCTACGATGGAAGCAGTGAAGGAGACCATTGGCTATTAAATACCATCCCCTTACTGGGCATTTTCCAATTCTGCAATAGGTGAAGAAAGAAAAAAGTAGGAAAAAATGCTGATTTTTTACAAATAAAGCAGCTCAAAGTTCTAGAAAAAATGAGTTCAGTGGTTCACTCTATTTATATTATAAGGTCCAAACTTCTTACCTGATTTTTAGATGTAGTTATAAATGGTCAGTACTCTTCAAATAACATATCTGAACATAGGTAACTGTTCTGAAAAAATAAGGTCCTAGCCTTCCCAAATCAGGTACATAGGTATTTTAAGTTAGCAGAGCTTTTGGGCTTCCCACAGAATTTACCGAATACAATGAATGTTACAGTGACAATATATGTCATGATTTTGTTTATATAAATCATCTGAAAGTTTAGTGCTGTTAAAAAAAATAATCTGACAGGGGAAAAAATGGTAACATCAGAGCATGATCTAGAAGTTCTAAAAGAACTGGACATTACATAAAGATAAGGGGAAAATAGAAGATATGAAATCACTGCTCGTTTGCTCTATGCTGTTTTAAAAGAAGAAAGGAAGATTTTAAAATATGGTATGATAATTTGCAGATCTCACCATAATTACAGAACACAAAATTCTTCTCACTCAAATACGCAATTCTAGCTTATTTTTTTATCTTATATACTTATCTTTACAATTTTAACTTTTTTATTCCTTGTATATTCAGTTCTAAAAAACTGCCCATACTAAGGCACAAGCATTTTTATTAGATTCTTAAAAAAAAAAAATCTTAAGAAGTATGGTTATTTCTCCAGGTAAAAAGGCCATCTTTGTATGAAGAAATACAACAGAAATGTAATCAATACCATTCTTGGCGAGCATTTAGAACATTCAAACTCTCCATAGGGCAAGGAAAATAAAAATAAAAGTCCCAAAGAAATAAGTAAGACTGATTTACAGGAGAGCAAGAAGTGCACTTACTACTTTAAAACCAATTAAACTACAGGTTAGGAGCCTACAGAAACCAACCTCTAAGGAAGATAACCTGTCAAGTTTAGATTTAGGTCTGTTAAACACAGCACCTAACAAAAGTTTCTGTAGATTTTTTTCTTTAGTATTTTGAGTAACTAAATAAGATGTGATAGCATAAATTTAATCTAAATCCTCTGCAGTCAGTAGAGAAATGAAGGGATGACCAGATCAGACTATCTCTCTTACATGCTTAATGCCAAATACAAACAATCAGTAATGTGATACTCAAGTACTTTTTTAATACAATCACAAAGCAAAAAATATTTCAACAGGCAGACTACTGAATCTTTCATGAATTGCATCTTCTAGGTAGATTAAGATACACATATGCATATAAATGTATATATTTATGTCTCATGTGAAAGAAAAAAACCAGCTCAATATTTTGGCAGTCTACTAGACCCCATAAAGGTTTTCAGAATTATGCTTGGTTGTCCTGCAACTCACAGCAAGCTTTGCACCTTTCCAGCATTTGAGGCTGGCCTGACTCAGCACCAGGATGTTTACTTGTCACATACACTTGAAAGGTTCCCTTGGGCCTTTCCGCATCTGGGTATGGGAATAAGATGTTCAGGCAAGTGGCTGAAGGAAACTGCATTCTCACTTACCAAGACTGGCCCTGTCTCTCCCACACAGGCAGGTTCTGATTTTCTCCACTGCTGGGAAACAACAGGCTGGGGCACTTGTCCAGGGAACAGAGGCTGAGAAAGGCGGTTGTCAAGCCTGGAGGAAAGGAGGCTTTGGGGGACCTAACAGCAGCCTTCCTCTGCTTAAGATGGGTTTTCCAAACTGGAAGAGTTTTTTACGGATTTACATCGCAGAGGAACAAGAAACCATGGACATCAGCTCAAATATGTGCTGATATTTCTGACTTGAGTAAGGAGTACATTTTCACTAGGAAGATAACTGCATATTTACTGCAGCAGGCTGCCCTCAGCAGCTTCGCCCAAATTCAGTGCGACCCTGTTTTGAGCAGGAGACTGGGCTACAGGGCAATGTTTCTACAGCTCTGATGCACAGAAAAGGACAGATTTTTGTGTGGTTTTGTTTTTATAATAAAACAGATTGATGGCACAACATCTCAGTATGATGTCAAGTATTTGGCAACCTAATCTTAAAAAGTAGGCTTACATTTTTCTACACGTACTCATATTGCTCAGCAATCACCGCTATTATGACCACTCAAACTATGTGCTATATGAAGTTAGCCAGAAACTGAAGTTTAAAAACACAGTAACTTTCTTCCCCCTCCCCACCCACCCTCATCCTGTATGGGCTACACAGTTCTCTATCAAAACACAGTATCTGATAACTTATTTTTTCTGGAGTGGAAAGAACATTGGCTGGTGCCTTATAAAAGGCTGAAACTTTAGCTGTAGTCAGACTAATTAATTATTTATGGCATTCAGTGTAACCACAGGACTTGAAAATTATGTTTTCATACCAATTTGCATCCATGTAAAGAACTTTCAAATGCCGGTTCCCAGATAAAGTACATTACCAAGCTAAAATCCTTTAATTTAATGCCATTATAAAGCCAGAAAAATAAAATTGTACTTCAATTTTCCGCATGCAAATGTGTACAGACTCCTGTCAATAAGTGAAGCTTTTGTACATCATATTAATCCTTCAAATAGCTTCTTCTAGCTGAAGCGCCAACCAGTTGCACTTCACAGACAGGAAGAAAAAAAGGGGAGGAAAAAAATGCAGTGCCCATTTGGCATATAAACTGCATCTTTGTCACATGCAGCATCAGAATTATCTTTATTGAAAACTTCTAGCATCTTAAATTCTAACCTGCTTCGGCACTAATTGTGCCATGAAAGCCCTTACACATTCACAGGGGTTTGTTTTACAATCACTATTATCAGAAATCAGTAGGAAGGCAGTATTTTCAATAGTCTAATATCAACTTTGAGTATCC